ATAATAATAATAATAATAATAATAATAATAATAATAATAATAATAATAATAATAATAATAATAATAATAATAATAATAATAATAATAATAATAATAATAATAATAATAATAATAATAATAATAATAATAATAATAATAATAATAATAATAATAATAATAATAATAATAATAATAATAATAATAATAATAATAATAATAATAATAATAATAATAATAATAATAATAATAATAATAATAATAATAATAATAAAACAATAATAACAGTAACTAATAATAATAAACAATGACAATAATGATAGTTTTAGGATAATATGGCAAATTGTTGTATTTATTTATATAAAACAAATAAGATATAATAAAATTGTGTAACGCAAAATTCATTATAAACAAAAATATTTTTGCTTAAAATTTTAAAAATTAATTTAAATTTTGATGAAAATTTTTATGTCTAAAAATTAAAGGACATAAAAATGAAAATATGCTAATTCTTCTCGTCTTCTATTGCAATATAGTTTTTATAATTGGACAATTTGATTACTATTACTTTGTTGACTAATAAAGTCTTCCATTTAATTGGTCCATTTCTTTTTTCTTTTTCTTTTCCTTTAATATAAAATTAAAAATGAATTAAAAATAGGCGCATAATTTTTCCCATCCCAAGGTATTACTATAATTATGCGCCAATTTCTAGATTGAAAATTGATTTCCTATTTTAATTACGATACACAACTTTTTGGATAATATCGTACTGTTACTATCATTTTCATTTGATTGCATCTTTTAATTAGTATTAATGAAGTTCCAAAAATGCATCTTTTAATTAGCTATAATAATTCTCATACATCGATGAATATGAAATGCCAAATTAAAAGTAGCAATTGTAAAAATACATCGTTTAATTAATATTAATGAAATCGCAAAAAAGGCATCTTTTAATTAGCATTTATGAAATTGCAAAAATTATTTCTATTTTTTGGGCAATTATTATCTGTGCAGTTTTACAATTAATTTCATTTGGTGCTTTTTCTTACCTTTCAATTTTTTTGTTTTAAGTTTGTAATTTCGAGCAATTTCTATCTTTCTAATTTGCATAAATATTACATACAAATTCATATGATTCATTTATCATTAATTTCCAATTTTCATTAGAAAATCAATTAACTTCTTTTCACATATAATACATAATTGAATTATCCTAATCATACTTATCAATTTATTTATCAATTCATCGTCATACACTACCACAATGATAAAATTAATGAATTGATTAAAAAAAAAAATAACAGAAACTTAATCAAATTCATCCTTTTTCTATATTCATAATCGTAAATAAAAACAAAAAAAATCAAACTAATCTTTGGTTAAGAAAAAATTGAAAATGAATGAAACACAATAAATTAATATTATATTGTACTTTCAACAAAATAATTAATTACTTTGGTTTTTTTCTTTATTAAATTGACACATTAAAAAAAAACTTTTTTTTTATTCTAAAAATTGTATTACTTGAATGAAATCAAATTAAATTATCAATTGAATCACATCATTTTATCGCTTCTTTCTTTTAAATCACTGAAAATAAATTTGATCAGATATAAGGAAAAGGAAAAAAACGCATGGAACAATAAGATTAATCCGTTTTAAATTAAAATACAAATTTGATACTGAATAATTAATTCATAATCGATTTTGGCTTATTTTGCTTATCATAGAAGAGGAAATCTTTTTGGAATATATTCCGTCTTTTTTTTCTCCTTTTAAAATAATAGGTTAATTTTTTTTTGAAATTTTTCAAATAAAAAAAAGAAAAAACGGTGAACGAAACACAATAATAGAAAAATTGAATGAATTTTTTAATATTGCACTTTTTTTTTTTTGGTCGATGGTACTGTCAAATGTCCTGTCCCTGATGGTGTCAATGATTATTGAAGTTTCCCTCCTTTTTCTTTTTTTTTTTTGAAATGAAATTTCCAGGTTGAATTTCAATAAATTAATTGTAATTAATTTTCTATCAATGGTTTTCAAATCAATTGATAAAATATGAAATGGAATTGTTTATGAGAATATTTCTGAAGAAAGTTAATTGATTTTTCAACCTGTATATGTTCAGTATCGAATATTATGTAGTAAAAAAAAAAGAAAAAAAGGAAGAAAAAACAATGTACAGATAAGATAATTATCATAATATCATAATATTAAATTTGAATTTAAATATCAGAAATATATAATCGAATAACTAAAATTAGTAATTTGAAAAGATTTGAATTGTAACAATATTACTAGAATAACAGTAAAATTTGGTTATACTTAAATCATATTATTATCATTTGTTAACTTTTAATTTATGTAATTTCAATATTTCTTCTCTTTTTTTTTCTTCAAATTTACATGATAATAACTTCTATATTCCATAATATTTTATTTATTTTTGATCATTTTCATAGTCTTTAATGATTGTTAATCATTTATTCTTTTATAGCTAAGATTTTTATTTTTTTAAAATTTCATAAATTTTTTTCCTTCCAAAAAAATGAAATTTAGATTTTACGAAATTAAAATATATGCAAATAAATGGATGAAGTATGACATCTGCAATGCTTTTTAGTTCTTTTTCTTCTTTGTAATACACTTTTAATGGTTACTGCTTTCAAAATGCTAATTAGCATCTGCATCTTTGGTAATTAGCATACGTACACATACACACACATACACACACACACAGACACACACACACAGACACATACACACATACACAACATACATACATACATGCACACACACACACACACATATATATTTGAGATGTTTCTTGGTTTTTTTTTTGCAGAAAATTAAAAAAAAATGGCAAAATGGAAGGATATTATGCGAAAATTTTAAAAATCGAAACACAAATTAAAAAATAAAAAAAAACGAAAAACGATTTAAACTTTATGACAAAAAAATAAGTGAGATTAAAAAAAAAAAACACATATAATTATGATTGAATTGAGATATAAAATAAAGGATTTTCATAACAAATTCATCATGAATTTGTATTTAATTGAAAAAAATTTTAATTAATAAATTGAGAAGGCTGAAAAGATAATATTAATTAATGATTTGAAAAGCTACACCAGAAAGCTTAAGTAATTTCCTTGACCTCTAATTGAAAAAGATGGTACTAATTAACTTTTTATGATTTGGAAAGCTATTCCAGAAAGCTTAAATGACTTCCTTGACCTCTAATTGAAAAAGATGGCACTAATTAACTTAATGATTTGAAAAGCTACTCCAAAAATGCTTGAATGACCTTCTTGACCTCTAATTGAACGGTAGCCAGGATTCATAAATATTTGACCAATTACTAATAATTAGCAATTTTAGAATAGATGAGATAATGCTAAATACTTGTATAGTCGTACTTCATGTTGCAACTCTGGATGATATTGTACGTATCAGAGCAATCCAATCCAATAATCAAATGAATTAAAAAAAAAAAATATTACCCGTAATATTTTTCATGATGACTCATCATCGTAATCTTCAAATGTCAATCGTAGCATAAGGTTGGTTTGAAAGCTTTGTACTTCTATCATTTAAGTTGCTTCGTGCGTGTATAAGATGTGCTCGTTGAATGGACGAGGGATCAATTAATAGTCGTTCCACGGAGACCGTTATCAAATCGGTCTCCGGTTTAACGGCAGCTTCGGTCGAGGTATAGAAATTCCGAAAAAGTTAGGATGATCAATCGGGATTTTCTGCCGAAATTTTAACAACTGCAACAGAATTCCTTCTCCTCTTATTTTTTCTTTTTTCCTTTCCTCATTTTTTTCTTCTTCTTTTTTTTTCTTGTATTTGGTAGCTTAACTATGCGCCGAAGAAAAAGAATGGAATATTTGTTTTTCTCTTTTCTTTAAACTTTAAATTTTATCCTTCCGGATTGCAGTGAACATTTTTTCAGGATGGCAATAATAATCCTGAACAGGCGGAAATGGTGCGCAAACGTTTGCAAGCTTGCGAAATTGCTTCAGTGGATGTTAATGAGATGGTATGGGAAGCAAGTAGCAATGACGAGAAAGAAAAAACTTTTCATGAACTGCAGCCAATTAAAGAAAAAGATTACGAATTCCTAGTTCCAAGTACTTCTAAAAAAGGTGAAGTCTGAAATATTTTTTCAAAACTAGAAGAAGGAAGCATTCAGATTATTAAGATTAGTATCAGACAATTGGTTCTGTGATTCAGGTTCATATTTCTATGATCATATGGACAGCAATGATGTTAACTAATAATTTGATCACTCTGATTATACATTTTCAGACGTTTCTAAACATCTTCATATTGCACGATGAGATGGCAACGATTGTTAATTAGGAAATGATATATATATATATATATATATATATATATATATATATATATATATATATATATATATATATATATATATATATATATATATATATACTACTATATATATATATATA